TCAATGAATAGATAACCAAAAAAAAAAAAAAAATCAGAACAAAACAAAACCAACAAAGTCTATTGTCCACCTTTCCTCCAAGATTCCCGTGGCATTTTTCTGTGATGTGTCTGCTCCCTGGCTTCGTCTTGCAGTTTGGTCTCACACGGAGCCGCTGAGCGCAGCTCATTTAAAAGTATGCAACTTCTTACTTTTGCTACAAGTTCCACTAGCTATAAGTCTTCAAACTTTTTAAATATTCCTATCTCTGTGGTTCCGAGTTTTGGAGCTCTACCCTGAATCTGCTTTACCTGGTATTCTGTGGTATTGCTGATGGAGAACTCCACTGCACCTCCACCCTAGCCGCCATCAAGCCCTGCCTGACCATTTTTTTTGATACAGTGAATTCTTTCCATCTTTTGATGCTTTCTGCATCATTCAATATTTTGCCCATAAAATCCTTCAATGCCTCCAGTTGAGTCTTGAATCTTTTCACCAGTTAACTCAGCTTGTGAAATGTTGAATGTGTTTTTTCCTTTTGGTTTTCTAACTCCAGGTCTTTGCACATTTTGTTAGATTATTTGACTTTGTCTTCTTGAGCTGACCTTTGAAATTTTCTCTTTACTTCTTTTGCTTCCTTATTTCTTCCATTTACTTTAGCACCTCTATGTTGGAGAGCAAGTTTCAGATCCTCTTCTGACATCCATTTTCCTTCTCTTTTGTCTTAATGATCTCTTGTTTTCTTCCTGTATGATGTTCTTGATGTCATACCACAATTTTTATGGTCTTCAGTCTTTAGTGTCTAATACATGAAATCTGTTCTTCAGATGGTCTCTAAATTCAGGTTGGATATATTCCAGGTTATATTTGGGGTCTTGTGGACTTGTCTTAACTTTCTTCAGCTTCTGCCTGAACTTGCATGTGAGCAATTGATGGTTGGTTACAGTCTGCTACTGGCTTTGTTTTGACTGATGATACAGAGCTTTTTCACCGTCTCTTTCCACCAATGTAGTCAATTTTATTTCTGTGTATTCCATCTGGCTAGGTCCAAGTGTGTAGTCATCTTTTACATTTTTTAAAAAGGTATTTGCAATGAAGAAGTCATTGCTCTCGTGAAATTCTATCTTGTGATCTCCAGCATCATTTTTTATCAGTAAGGACATATTTTCCAAATACTTATCCTTCTTTGTTCCCAAATTTTGCATTCCAATCACCAGTAATTATCAATACATCTTGATTGCCTGTTTGATCGATTTCAGAAAGATGTTGTTGCATAAGGTTGTCATATCAAACCTGTATAGGGTTTCTGAGGTGTGGCTAGTGAGCTTGAACCAACTTGCAGTTTAAAGTGACCTTGCAGTCAGTTTATCCACAGTGTTACACCAGGACTCAGAAAATGTTAGAAGTCTTCAATTTAGTCATCACTGGCTTTAGTGGTCGGTATGTAAATTTGAATAAAATTGGTATTTACTTGTCTTCCTTATTGTTGTTAAGTGCTGTTGAGTCGGTTCTGACCCATAGTGACCCTGTATAGGGTT